CTGGTGAGCATCTGCAATCGGGTGCGGAAGCTGGCCGCAGTGCTGCCCGTCTCTGCAGCCTGGGGGGCATGAGCGCACTGCTATCGCCCCTCGGCCCTGGCCTGCGAGTCCCGGCCGAGGCCCCCATGCTTGCAACATCCACTCCCGATAAGCCATCCGCCCTTTGCCTCCCTCCCCCCGAGCATCTCACTTCTACATCGCCACCAAACACTGTGATCATTCTGTTTGCCACGATCCAAGCCTGAACATTCTCAGAACCCCCCTTGCAGCGGCCGCTCACCCGCGTCGAGGGCGTCCTTGCGCTGCTGCTTCTCCACCATGGCTCTCAGGTAGAGGTCAGGGACGTTGGGGTTGGGGTCCTCGATAGTTATCTGCGGGGGCAGAGCAATGGATCCTGAGAACGCGGGCTGCGGGGCGCACCACGTCATGGCAACGTCGATCGCGGCCAACCGCCGCCCGCGGCCGCCGCGGACTGCCGGCGGGGCCGCTGCGTCCGGCCCCCATGCGCGCGAGCGCGGGTGGCTGTCGGCCGGCGCGCGCAGTGCGCGCAGTGTGTTGCAATTCGCGCCGCACCACGTCGGGCTCTGCGTCTTCGGCGGGGGTTTCTGTGTAAGGCGTGTGGCGGTCCAGCGCGGCCCCCAGGATGAGCTGCGCCGACGCCGCCTTGCCCGCGTCCCGCAGCGCCGAGATCAGCTGCCGCGCGCGCGACAGCCGCGCCGCGTCCGTGCGCTTCTCGCGGCGCGCGAGGCCAACGGCGAACGCGGCGTCCTCGTCGCCGTCGGCGGCGGCGCGCATCGCGAGCATGAGGGATGCGTCGTGCTCATCATCCAGGGCATCCAAGTCCTCGAGCTCCCGCTCGTCCCAGTAGGCGGCCGCCCCCCAAAACTCCCCCCAGTCGTCGACCTCGTCGGCCCAGTTGGGGTTGTTGAAGTCGGGGCGCGAATTGTGCTTGCGGCGGATCTGGGAGTAGCCCCGCGCGGGCATGGACGCGCCCTCGTCGCCGGCCAGCAGCGCGTCGAGCTCAGACTCGATCTCGTCGCTGGTCGCAGAGCGGCGGGTGCTGTTGCGACCAGAGAATCGGGTCCTCATTGGTGCTGGGCGCCGGCATGAGGATGTGCAGACGGCTGGGCTCGTCCGCTGGCTGCTGGTCGCCGCACTGTGGCTTTGGATGCGCTGGGCAAGCATCCTGCCACCTAGGGCGCCACACAAAGATCAAAGAAGATGAAACTCAAGCTATATGCTAGGTATAAGGCAATGGGAGTGCGTGAGGAACCCCAGTGACGGTGGCGACTAGATCACACGCTATATGTACAACGGTTCTTGATAAGCTGTGAGGCAGCAGCGTAGTGTATCAGCAAGATAATGCATGACATGCATACGGTGCCACATCCAACGCGTTATCCAAAACCTTGACCAGTGCTTGTGTTCATCAGGTGACTGCTGTTGCACACCAGCGCTGCTTCCAGGCACCCTGCGCAGCAGAACTACTGCCGCCTACTTAGTATCATAACATTTGCAATGTACGCCTCTCACTATGATATGCTTTGTATGAATTCAATCTCAGCCCGGCACAACAACGCGCCTTTTGGAAAGCCATGTATGTCTAGAAAGCGAGATCTGGCGGCTTGAAGGCAAGGTGGCAATCAACTCAGCTGAACGTGACTGCGCTGCGGCGGCGTCTGTCGCACGCGCAACCAGGGTGATGCTGCCTGAGGCGGGAAACGCTGCAACGAGTTGCCCGCAGCAGGACGTGGTGATGGAAAGAGCAGCACTCGGCTAGTGCTCTATACAAGGGTGCCACGCCAGCAGGAGCCGTGGCGTGGTGTAGAGGGCACCACGGACGTGTAGCAGGAGACGAAGGAGGCACCACGATGGACATGCTTGCTGAAAAGCTTCGTGAGCATCCCTGGATCGCGCGTTCGGATGGGGCCAGCAGCACAAGTCTGACTGTGGGGATGTGTTTTCTTGATCCTAAGAAACGTACTGCTCTGCACGTGCGTTTCCACCTACGTGCCCCATGCACACACACGCACTCACACACACACACACACACACACACACGCACACACACACACTCACACACACACACACATGCGCGCGCGCATACGCACCTCGTCGCACACCACGCGCACCCGATGCGCACACCACTTCAACAGCACAGCAAACCGCTCCCCGCCAACCCCATCATTCCGCTCCCCCAGTGCACCCGGTCGCCGAGGTGCGGGGCCGCACCCTGCAGAGCCTCGAGTTCAAATGGAAGTACGGCCTGCTCAGCGCGGACGACCTGCTGGCAGACAGGAGGGTGCTGGCGGCGCTGCTGCGTGAGTGCCGCCTCACCACACGCGTCTTAGCCCTGGGGGAGGGGCCTGCGGCGGCGGATGATGTTTTGGGGGGAGGCCGCTGAGAGAGGGCGCGTGCGCGTGCGCGGCGGCAGGCAAGGCGGGCGCCATTGGCTTCCAGTAGGCTGCTGGGTTTGAAGAGCGGCCGGGTGCCAGCGTGGGCATCCGCTTTTGTGCGTTCAAAGGGCGCAGCAACCCTGTGATGGACGCCAGCCTGAGGCTCTGAGACCCACACCACCACGGCCCTCCCCGCTGCGCAACCCCCAGGCATGCTGTCGCTCGGCGACGGCCTCCAGACCACCGCCGTGGTGCTGCTGCTGCTGCGCAAGCTCGCCGCGGCGGACGCCCGGCTGGCGCGCACCCTGCTGGAGGAGGGCGCAGAGCAGCGCCTGCGCGCGCTGGCCGCGGAGTGCCCGCCCGAGCTGGCCTCATCTGTGGAGGGCCTGGCCGCGATGCTCGCGGGCGGCGGCGGCGCGGGGGCACGGCGGCAGCAAGGGCAGGGCGCGCGGCGGTCGCTGTTCGAGGGGGGCGGGCGCGGCAGCGGCGGCGGGCGTGCGGCGATGGCGGCGGCTGCGGCCGGGGACCGCGGC